GGAGAGGGGTTGTGTTCCTTTTGCGCCCCCGTGCACAGGTGGAGGCTTTCCGTCCGTCCGGGCGTGTTGGAAGCGTGGTGCATTCGTTTCTCTCTTCACCCGCGTTTCTCGATGGAGAGATGAGCCTGTGCACTTCGCTGTCGGTACGTTTTGGGCAGGCGGTGGCATCCGGCTGTGGGCCGAAGCTGTCGGTGGTTCCTTCGCGCGMGCCGTTGTTCGGGTAGTGTGGTTAACTTGCGATCTCTGGGTGTGGTGTGGGCGGGTGYTGTTCGCAGCCAATCTCTTGGGCGGGTGCGGCGGGCTGTGTTGGATTGTGCGGTGCCTTGCTGTTGGAGATGGCCTACGGAGGGAAGTTCACCTGCAATTCAAACAGCCGGACTTCGCGGCGTCTCGGCAGCTGATTACATGTTCCACGATTGTTCGACGTTCTTTTGGTAGGCTATCCGGCGTGACGTGCCTACATGCGCCTCGGCCATTGCTCCTTGCGGCTGCTCGTCACACCCGCTACCTGGTTGATCCTGCCAGTAGTCATATGCTTGTCTCAAAGACTAAGCCATGCACGTCTGAGTGTGAACACTTCGCACTGTGAAACTGCGAATGGCTGCACTGTGTTGCATTGTGAAACTGCGAATGGCGAAACTGCGACGAAGCGAATTGCGCTAATTTTGGTGAGGTGCGCTAATTTTGCTTTCACGATCGGAGACCTGAGCAACCGGGCCCTTGGGCGAATCTGCGACGTGGTGGCTGGTGGACGTGGGACGGCGGCGTTCGGAATTTGCGAAGTTTTAGTCGCGCGGCGATTTGCCGCGCGATTTTTTTCGGTCGTTGAATTTTCGAACCGTTGCGTGCACCTCCTCGCGCCAGCTAGGGTTTCACGATTTTCTCGCTTGTACTGGGGTTTGACCGCCCCCGTTGACGTGACATGTGCCACGTTGGCTATGTCACTCTCGTGGATGCAGGTCAGGTCATGGCGAGGAGTTTGTGTGTGGGGCGCCTGGGTTTCGGTGCCCGACTCCCATGGCAACGCCAGGTTGGGGCAGGCGGGAGTATGGTAGAACACAGTTAGGAGAGTGAGGAGGGAGTGTGCAAGGAAGGAGGTCGTGTTGTCGGGTGGGCGTGGAGCTTTCTTCACGCTCAGAGACCTGGCCTGCGGAACAGAAGGCGACGGGGGTAACTAGTCTACTTGTGTGAGTCGTCTTGCTGACTAGCCGACCCCGGTCATGGGGAGTCCCGCGGTTATTGTTCCGCTTTTGGAGTGCGGGTGCGGCTTACGAAGAGGGGACGGGAGGCGAGTTTGGGTGGGGGGTGTTACGAATTGGTTTTCTTTTTTTGCGACTTTCTTTTGGTCACATAGGTGTTGGGTGAACGAGATGGAAGAACACCGGGAGGGGTTGATGCAGATGATCCGTCGGGCTTTCCTTTTAGGGCTCCAGCTCCGACCCCCAGATCTGCTATCCTTTACCATCGAAGGGGGGACGGCAGTCGCGCGACTGGCCTCTGATTTGGGGTATTTACTGATGACATACGCGAGGGCTCATGCAGTAGTGCTCAAGCTCCCAGAAGTAGTGGTCCCCTGGTTACGACGTATGAAGAAGGCATGGATGACGGCGCGCGAAGGCCTGTGGTTAATGGGTAGGGGTCCGTGGAAGGGGATGATTGACATAGAGGGCTCGCGGACGATCATCTATATGGCGCCCTCCAGGGAGGTGAGGGACTGGCTCATACATGAACGGAAGGTGGAGTGTATATTGGTGGGAGATGTTGGTCAAGAAGTACAACTGGTCCCATGGCGAACGCCTGCGGAAATGGAGTTTCAGCGGGAGGAGGAGAAACGACAGCGGCCATGGGTCAAAGTGTTCAGCCCCCCCTCCTTTTTGGTCCCTCTCGAAGAACAGATGGTGCAACAACTTTTTGGCGAGATTGTTTCTATACCCCTCTTCTGTGAAGAAGAAAGCGAATATTGGAGGCATGTGGTTAGGGGCCCACTAAAGATGCGCCAGGTTGAGAGGGTAGTTGTGGCTTTTGGGCCTACGACTACGCAGGAGTTTCGCTTTATTACGAGCGAAACTCCATTTTGCGACGTCTGTTTTACGCATGGGCATTTGGGACGGGAAGGCCGATGCCTTTCCAGGGCGGAATCAGCCAGAGAGCTGCAGGAGAAGGAGATACGCCAGCGAATGGACCCCATTTTAGCGTCAAATGTGGAAGAGGAAAGGCGAGCCTGGAGGGAGATCGAGCAGCGATACGATGCGGTGGTGCTGAAGGAGTTGCATGCGGCGCACTGGCACGTGGGGGGCCCCGAAGTAGCAGAGGGCTATCGCAGGCGACAGGACTCGAAACCCCGTGGTCGACATATCCGGCCGCCCAGGGGGACGGGCGGAGGTAGGCACAGGGACCCCCCAGTGGAGGTGCATGACCGCATGGAGATTGACCCCCCTGTGTGGCTCTTTGGTGATATGCACCGGAAACGTAAGGAGTGTCAGGAGGACACTACCAAGGGGACCGGGGTTAAGGTGGGGATTGAGAAGCGGCAGTGTGGTCCTAGCATGCAGCCGGCTTCGGCAACTCCGAGGACTGCGGCCACGGATGCGCGGGTTGACGACCATGTGCAACCGGCTGAAGTAGGGAATGGGTGGTGGGGGGGGGGGGACGACCTGGTCGATAAAGAGGTCTTTGTCCAAGAGCGAGGCTCACGGGTTGAAGGCTCCAACGAGCCATTGATCCCGGTCGATGCACAGGTACAGGGGACGGAGG